AAATATTGCTTGACCATTACACACAGAAAAAGTTTCGTTAAAAATGTTATGGTAGATCAGCAGGCAGGCAGGCAGGCAGGCAAAGGTTTGCAAGGAGAACACACTGGAAATCAGCAAAGGGCTGTTTCTGGATTTCTGAGTACTCAACTTGGTATTACTCTGTTTGAAACAAGGAGGTTGACAAGGCCCTCTGTTTAGTAATTAGCACCCTGTCAAATCCTGCCAATCAACATCAGTGTGCTGCACCTGGTCTGAGTTAAAAAATGCATGTGGGCAATTGTGGGCTGTTCTTCAGGGGCTGCCATTTTCAGAACAGCATTCAGTGTGTGGCCTGAAGTTACCATTCACACACAATAAGGAGGCCTCATCAGTGGCCTCCAGAGATTTTGCTAATCCTATGACCATTTAAATTACCTGTCCTTGCCATAGTGACAGGAGACTAGAAGGGGACCCTCTTCCAGGAGCAGGAAGTCATTCTGGCAAAAATCATTGTAGAAACAAGACAAATGAGACTAGAAACACAAAAACCAAAGCAAAACAAAACCCTTCCCATAAAAGTCAGCCCACACTCCAGAACCCCCCCTAGCTTCCCTTTCCTTTGCCTTTCCAGGAACTGCCCTTGGTGTAGAGGCTGTGGTCCTTGATGTAGGCGATGACAGCATCGGGGAGTAGGTACTTCACGCTCTGCCCTTGGCCCAAGGCTCTCCTGATGTATGTGCTGCTGATCTCATTCTGCACGGGCTCCCTGGCCAGGTGAATGTTGTGCTGGAACTCTCGGAGGATAGGAGAATCCAAGATGTACCCTTTTGGGTCATGACCCGCCCTGCTCACACACACCAAGCCGAACTTCTCCACTATCTCCTGGATGTGTGTGTCTTCCCAGAGGCTGGGAGTCTGGAAGGTTTTCAGGACGTCTGCCCCACACAGGAGTTTCAGCTCAGGCACAGCTGTAACACAAGGGCAGATCTCAGCAAATTATAGAAGGTCACTGCCAGGAAAGAGCACGCTAGATTCTGTTGGAAAGTCTTACAAAGTGCTTTTCTTAGAATGTATGGGGAGCTCAGTGCCTCTATGTTCATGACTTAATAAGAAAAAAAAACAAAAACATGTAAAAGAATCTGAAGCGATTTTAGGGTGTGGAGTTGTATGTAATGATTTCATCAATGCATATTTTCTTTAACATTGGCTAGGTGCCAAGTAATACAAATAAGACGTGCGTGCATGCATGTGTG